CGTAGAATGAGAATAAAATAATAAATTTATCAAATAAAATAACGCAATAATATTCTCACGACGTTTCGGCCACAACACAAGCGGCCTTCATCAGGTGAAGGGACGAGACTGTCTGGAGGACAGCGCTGGAGAATTTGAGAGATAATTTTATTGTGTTATTTTATTTTATCAATTTATTATTTTATTCTCATTCTACGTGACTTTACCGAAAGAACCAAAGAAGTTGGTAGAAGTCGTTCGGAAGATTGTCGCCAAGTTGTTGGCAAGTTGGTAGAACCTTCCAGAAGATTTTGATTTAAAGCTTTCGTGACTGCAGGGATTCATATTCTTGGTTCTTTTGGTAAAGTCACGTAGAAGGGAAACAATAAAGTAATAAAAATATAAAACAATAAAATTCTCACGACGTTTCGACTGTGATGATGATTGCTTGTGTGAATACAACAATTTTTTCTAGCTGTGGTTTTCACACTTGATGATGATGGATTGTGTTGCAGTCGAAACGTCGTGAAAATTTAATTGTTTTATATTTTTATTATTTTATTGTTTCCCTTCTACGTGGTGACTTTACCGAAAGAACCAAGAATGACTTCCAGAAGATATTTCCAAGTTAGTAGAGGCCTTCTCCATTAACCACACGCACTTGCGGTGAGCATGCAAACAAACACATTTTGTTTGTACATTTTAACACCTCCTGTTTTCTTGCCAGAAAGAGTAAAACCTATTCTTATTTTTATATAGTTTGATACCGTCAAAAAAGTTCCCATTTTGTAGCTGCTCCCCACGAGCTAAAATGGTAGTGCATTTTCGTTGGTTCTTTCGGTAAAGTCACCACGTAGAATGAGAATAAAATAATAAATTGATAAAATAAAATAACACAATAATATTCCCACGACGTTTCGGCCACAACACAAGGCCGCTTGTGTTGTGGCCGAAACGTCGTGAGAATATTGTGTTATTTTATTTTATCAATTTATTATTTTATTCTCATTCTACGTGGTGACTTTACCGAAAGAACCAAAGAAGATGAATCCTTGCAGTCACGAAAGCTTTAAATCGAAAAATGGTAGTGCATTGTCTCGGACCGTGTTCGTGAGCTGAAGGCGGACTCCGAGGCTGATCATTATTTTAATGCGGCTGGCTCACGAAATAGATTTCCCTAAGACGATGGTACTTTGGGGCCGTCCATAAATGACGTCACGCGACCTTGGACGATGTTTTACCCCCCCCGCTTCGCCACACGGCGTCACAAAATGTCAGACCCCCCCCCTCAAATATGACGTCACAAAGCTCTGCCCCCCCCCCAAAAAAAAAACACATGCTTCAAATCTCTTTAAACTATTGTCGTTGTAGTGCGTATTTTATGTGGTGCTGCACTCTGATGTTGTAGGAGAAAACATTTATTTAAGTAGAACGTGTTGTCTATATTTATTTAAAGTTGTGCATTTTGATGTGACGTCACATTTCGCAAACCCCCTCCCCTCCGTCACACATCGTCACGAATGTCTAACCCCCCCCCCCCAGGTGCGTGACGTCATTTATGGACGGCCCCTTTGCAAGCCCATTGGCTATCAACAAAGATTCGCTCATATTCTTGGTTCTTTCGGTAAAGTCACTTTACCGAAAGAACCAAGAATGTGAATCCCTGCAGTCACGAAGCTTTAAATCAAAAGATTCGTTCATGAAGCCATCCATATATACAGTGGTCCCTCGTTTATCGCGGGGGATACGTTCTAAAAATAACCCGCAATAGACGAAATCCGCGAAGTAATCAGCTTTATTTTTTACAATTATTACACATGTTTTAAGGCCGTAAAACCCCTAACCACACACTTTTATACACTTTTCTCAGACAGGCATTAACATTTTCTCACATTTCTCTCTTATTTAAACACTCTCAAAGTTAAAACTTTCGCAGATTTAAAAAAAATAAGTACAATATTAGTAAATGAAACCAAAGATCAAAACCTGTTTTCAAGCCCAAACATTTTTGTAAATCTGGCTAGCCGAACGCATTCTGTACTCCCTTAGCTAATCAGGACGCAGAACACATGTGCGGTTCTCCCTTAGCCAATCAGGACGCCGAACACAATGCGCGCTCATACTGTATGCAGGAAAAAAAAAGCGTGCAAAATTACACTAAAAAAAAATCCGCGCAACAGCGAGTCCGCGAAAGGTGAACCGCGTTATAGTGAGGGTCAACTGTATACAGACACAGAAACAATTTCAACTGCGAGGTTGGGTACAAACTCAGCAGTCACTGGAAGGACGTCATCAACCACTTTAAGTGGTAACTGGTTGGATGTTTTCTTGTCACCTTCCGTGCTTCACCTTGGTGCTCTCTGACCCCAGGGCACCTATGCCCCGCCCACTTCATTCTGACACCAGAACGCCTGTGCCACGCCCATTTTTAAACCTTTAAAAACAGCCGCCTTCAGCGGCATTCCCCCTTTTTCCTCCTGATGATGATCGCTTGTGTTGTGATCGAAACGTCGTAGTTTTTATTTTATTTACTTTTATTTCTTCTATCTACGTGACTTTACCGAAAGAACCACAGAATGTATTTGTACTGTTCACCATTTGGCATTCTCGGGTCTGACACTGGTGAGACTATGCCCCAAAGAAGGCTGTCTCTGGTGTAGGACAATCCGTTTTAAAGATAATGCCATATATTATTAGAGCATGTTTGTTTGCATGTTCGCCACAAGTACCGTGTGTGGTTAATACAGTAACTTGATTCCTGGCAAAAGGTTTATATTTGGTGTTTGAACCTCTTAACACCACCTGTTTTATTGCCAGAAAGGGTAAAACCTATTATTTGTATTTGTTCATACCTGCAATATCGTCGGTGTTGGTCAGTGGTTCAGGCTGCAGAAAAGGGTAAAAACAACCGGAGTGTTCGTAAAACTTGCACCCGGTACCTAACTTCTTCTGGCGCCTCTTGTTCCCACGTGTGTGCACTGTCTTTTTCGATTTTCATAAGTTTAGTCACGATTCGACCAAAATGTAGAACCTCTGTGCGCCTGTAGCCTGCATTGTATTTGCACTGATTGTTTTTCACTTGCATGTTTCCTTTACGCCCATCAAACACAGTACAACCTCGTTTGCTATCTACGCAATATACCGCAAAGACCTAGTACCCCTTCTCTGCAATGTTGCCGTTTCTCTTTTATTGCTGTCCTGTTCACGCACCGCGAATCTCCCTTCTAAAGCAGCCGGGCAGCTGGCTATATGAGGCCATCATCCGCGTAACGAATCACCATTTACTTGAAAAGGTGTTTGGACTCAGTGTGACTTTCCTGTGTAAATACACCAATGCATTAGATTAACTTCAATTCAATACACAGCGCTGCACAGTTGTGATAGGCCTAGGCCAGGGGGTGGGCAGCCTGCAACTCCAGAGCCACACCAGGGCATCTGTAAAACAAGAGCTTTACAGCTCATCGGATTCCTCCAGGAAAATATTTTGTGGACAGATTCGTGACGTTATTTACCCAAGACCATCACAGTCTCATTCACCACACAGTGCATTGCGGCTCTTGAAATATCGAGGGGGTTGTTTTTCTACCGAAGAATAATAACATTCATCTAGCGCTTTTCATCAAGGATCTCAAAGAACTGTACACGATACAGCAGCAGCAGACGCTCAGCATAAAATGTATATTATAAATACATTTTAAGAATCATTTACTAAATAAAAAAGCGTATAAATAGGTTTTAATGCGCATTTTAAAAATGTCCACAGACTCAGAGATCCCTGATATCTCGTGGAAGAGCGTTCCGTAGCCTGGGGGCTCTTCTTGTAATGACAGCAGTCAACCATACGGTGTGAGTGGACTAGTGGCCACGGGAGGTAATTAAAGGGGAGTCAGCCTGCAGTGCAAATGGACTGGTGGCCACGGGATGCAATGACGGGGGAGTCAGCTTGCAGTACGAATGGACTGATTGCAACTGGAATGATCGATAATAGCGTGGCCAGGTGACGGAAGAGGGCGGTAGAGTCAGCCGGTACAGCGAGTGTCTAGAACCAGGGGGCGTGGTCTCGGACCGTATATAAGGGAGATGCGTGGGAGACTCGGGGCTGTTGCAATGGGGGTCTCCGCCTGTCCGAGTGTGAGCACGTGGCTCCTTAATAAAATAAACCATCTCAAGACAAGTGGGTTCAAGTCGTCATCACACTTTGGTTGCCGACCGCTGGCGTAGGCTGATTGAAATGTCTGGAAACATGTGACAACCGCAATTCAGCATTACTGCACATTGGAGTTTGTAGGTGAGGGATTTAGAGAGGGCATAGAGGGGAGTTGTCGCCAGCCGTGCTAATTGGGAGATGCCGTGGGAGGGAGAGCAAACTAAACACAAAGATGAGCCGTTCTAAAGAGATAAGCTTTCAACCGAGATGACTTAAAATATTGAGATGAGAGGTGACGGAGGTATAGGTGAGGACATCAGCTGCAGATGGGGCAAGAAAGTGGCATATGATGAGATGGGAAGGAAGGGGCTCTGCAGAAGTGACAGATGACACCACTCAGGTGATATTCTCACTCAGGTGATATTCTCACTCAGGTGATATTCTCACTCAGGTGATATTCTTACTCAGGTGATATTCTTACGAAAATGATATTCACACGAAGATGATATTCACACTAAGATGATATTCAAACAAATGATATTCACACTAAGATGATATTCTCAGAAATGTCAAAAGAGGGCACTCGTGGGTTGAGAAGTTTTCTACAATTTCAAGCGAAGATGGCATCACGTGAGATTCCAGTACCGCACGTAGAAAATGTAAACACATTCCCCCCCCCCCACGTAACGCAAAACCACATTAAGTGTGTGGAATGTTTTTCATTAAATATGTAGAAAATATATATTTAATACCATGTGACCCGTGACAATGGGCAATTGTGTTCTTCCTGACGGCAGTGGAACTTTGCTCACACACAACACCACCACCCCATCAGCGTCATCTTTGTGTGGACCAAGGAAGACAGAGGCACACGCCTGTTTATGCTTTTTTTATTTTTAATGAATCAGCGTTGCTAACATTTTGCACCACCGACATTCCACCAAATAAACAACGACCGGCCCCACCGGCCGTTACATTCAAAAGTCATTTTGCATAGGAAAAACGACAAATTATAATAATGATTTACTCTCAAAATTTTAAAAACACGTATACAAGCGGCTATTTAATCGGCGTAGCAACAGCCCATATTGGGAATTAGCCACAAGTATTAACCACAAGTATTCATCAGCATTAGTATGGTACTCAAGAGGAGAGTACAGTAGTGGAATTGAATTAACAATAGCACATACATTTTTTTTTTACTTTTTGCCAAGCAAGACAAATATAAGTAACAAAAAAAACCCTATAAGTTGTTCTGAGATTAAAAAAACCCAGCATTTGCACGGCCTCAATGTGTTGTAGGGTTAGATTTAAACAAACACATTTCAATTGGTCCAGCGTCCTTTAAAAATACAACCGGTATCGATAAAAATGACATTATTTAAACCAGAGACGACCCCGCCGAGACAAAATGTTACTTTTGCAAAGGGAGACCTGGAGATTCATTCCACACACAATCACGACATCAATAATCACTGTAAATCTTCTGGCCGATAAACAACTACCATTTAACGGCAAATACTGGTCGTGCAAACTCCAGCAGCAAACAGGGCGGCTACATCCGCGTCTTGACAGCGAGGGCCTAGGCTCGGGACCTCGGGGCCACCTTGCCGCCAGTGTCGGCGAAGGAGGCACACAAGGTCACACAAGGTCACATGTTCACTGTGAATCGGACGAAGAGGAAACACTTTGTCCACCCAAGAAACGAGCCCATCAAAGTTGTCGTAACTGCAAAGCGGCAATGCACGCGGCAAAGACGCAGCCCCTACAATCGCTCTCTCAGCCGACGGGTTGTCTTAGCAGAGGCGGGGAGTACCCACGCTTTACCCCACCAAACGCCCCCTGCCAATCGATGAACTTCCGTGTAACCAATTACTGCTGGTTGGACACAGGCGGATGGGGGTACTGGGGATTGAGAACGCTCTCCCATTGTTTCAACTGCCACGCAGGGAGATTGCAACGAGCCAGCAACTTCGGGGATTCCAAGTCCAGTGCGCTAACCATTACAGCACGGTAGAATCCTCAGCTTATATATAGAACAGGTTATAAAAATGCTGTTTTAGTTTCACAACATTGAGGATAATAACCGTTTTGCAAGACATCAGGACGTGATCAGTGTTGCAAATTGTTAATCTGTAGTCATTTCATAGCTGGACTGTGCTTCATCAGTCACGTTAAAATCATGAGCAATAAAAACAATCAGTTATGCAAGGAATATATTTCTTACCATAAGAGGGCAAGCAGCATTCACAACAAATCAACTTTCCGATTCTCATTTAATAAAAAAAATTAAATTCAGTGCACGAGTGTACACGTCCATGTTATATTAACATCAACTGTGATCTCAAACACACATAAATTGAATAAAATATAGTTTTTAAAATGTCACTTGACTTGCCGATTATCTTGACATTCAGCAGCAGCGTTAATTTATAATCTAAGATACTCTGGCCTGGTTTCGACCTTCTAGGTCTCATCAACAGCCTGGTAAAATAAATACCACCGGCAGAACAGAGGATATTGGTAAAAGCACTCCCTCGAAATAACGGCGTCCTGTCAGCACACAATAAGTGAGGCCGACAGCCGAATATAAATCGAAGATAGAGAAGTCAATCTGTTTACTTCACTCTAACGCATGGTGAAGTATGAACAACAGTTTAGAAATTGCATATTGTACTCACATGGCAGTAACAAAAGGCAGTGTACACTGACTAAGCATGGAACCAACCCACAACTTGAGATGCAAAAGGTGGATTGTGTGGATTGGTCAAGTCCCGCTGTATTCTTTGAAGCCGTATTCACATTCCTGTGTTATTTAAGAATGTGTGCGTTCCAGTTTCTGCGTGTCCACAGAACAGGGCACACAGCCACACTATGTACCAACAGGTTTTTAACACACATACCGAGACGCACGTGTTTGTACAAAGACAAAGATCCCCCGTGTAGCTTTAACAGGCTATTGGGGAAAGTGCTGTTAGCGAGCACCTAATGAAGGCCGGCACGGCACACGACAGGGTGGGTGGCCAGCACCACGCCCGGCCGCCTTTGTCTCCATAATGGCGATATTTACACACTGCACCAGGTACTCATTTGAGGCTGAGTCGACCTACGGGAGACCCAGGACCAGTTTAGATAATTGCCGTCACTGGGTTCGTGATGCAGCATGCTAATCGAGCGCACACACGAAATAATTCCAAAACAACTTTGGCTCAGAAAACAGATAGGTCTCAAACGTACAAAGGAAGGTTTCACAAACCAGGTGAGTTCACCACACACACAGAAATCTACATGAACGTGACACCCCCACACGCACGGACGCGATCCGGGCGAGAGTAAATTACGCAGCCCTAAAGCAGCGGTCAAACTCAACGGAGACGCTAAGAGGCCCGCGTCGACGCAAATCGCGCCCCCCCCCCCCCCCGCTTCCCCTGCCAACGTACGGCCAATACCTCTTTGGATCAGAACCAAGATCGTAATAATAATACTGCCGTGAGAGATGGAAGAAGAAAAAGCCACAGGTTTCCTGCCGACTGGGAGAGGAGGACCCGATCGGCAATACGATTCGCGTAAACTCCACTGCGATGGTGATCATTCTGTGGGACAGCTGCCGTATGTACAATCGGCGCCACGCGTCTGTCGCGCTTGCGCCGATCGGAGGTGGGAGGGGAGGTCGGGGGGAAGCGTCGAGCCCTCCCGCGCGTCGTCAGGGCCGCCGGTCGGCGTACGCGGGGAGGCCGAACGCCTCGGGCACAAACTCCTCGAGCGAGCGCAGCACGAGCGACGCGCCGCGCGTGTCCTCGGGGCCGAAGTTCTCGTCGGGGATGATGACCACCTGCATTCCCGCCGCCAGCGCCGCCCGCATGCCGTTGGGCGCGTCCTCGAACACCAGACACTGGCGAAGACAACGGCATGAAGAGGGCGGACGGGCGGCGTCAAGGGGGCGAGTGAGCGCCGGCCGCGGCGTCGCGCTGTGGCAAATTGGGACCGTGATGCTGGCATCCGTGGCTTAGTTTACTTGTTTTTTTTTTTCAAATAATGCAACCGCATTTTTTTTTTGTCGCTAATGTTCTCATTGCAAATCTACGCGAGTCCGGCACAATACGGTACAATGCGCCACAATACTTTACAACGCGGTACAATATGGTACAGTATGGTACAGTACGGCACAGTGCCATACGGTACAATACGATATAAAACGCCAATCACCGAACGTGGTGGGGGAACAACGATGCGATGTCGGTGCGACAGGACCTCTGTGACCCTGTGACCCCGTGAAGGGGGGCAGAGAATGTGCTCCCTGCCTCACCCAGGGAGGGGGGGAAGAGAAAAGGAGAGGGTCACAGGCAGGGGGAGTCTACGTGCACCCAGTGAACTTTACCGTCAGCTAAAGTCCCGCTCTTTTTCAGAAGCGACCTGGCCACAAATGATAGCTCAACTAAGTGGCTTATCACGTGGAAATTTATAGCAGCCAAATACTCTAAACGCGTGATGTTGATTAAAAATGTGGAGGGAAAAACCGTAGGATCCGGAGAAAAGTCCACGCGGCCACGGGGAGATAAAGAGAGAGAAACACGCAACCTCCAAATATAGGGAAGTCAGGGTCGGCATTGAACCCACGACATCCTGCACACGAGGCGAGGTAGTTAACATCTCGCCACCGTGGCGCCCAACTCCTGTCTATCCCTTGAGGCGAAGAGGGGGGTGTGCCGGCGGGGGTCACATCCCTGACCGCTCACCTGCGAGGGCCGGGCGGGCGGCTGGAAGCGGCGAGCGGCCACCAGGAAGGCGTCCGGCGCCGGCTTGCCGCTGCGCACCTCGGGGTCGTCGCCCAGCACCGTGTGGCGGAAGAGCGAGAAGAGGCCGCCGTGGTTGGTGGTCTTCATCTGGAAGGTGGCCCGCGCCGAGCTGGTGGCCACGGCCATGGGCACGCCGTGCCCGTGCAGGTGCCTGATCAGCCTCTCCACGCCTGCGCTCGTCACCGGACGGCACGCCGTCGTTAGTTCGACGTCGTGTACGGTCCGTCTTTGGCCATACCTCACCATGCTGCCCGGTGCGGGCTGGTGAAGGGGTCGAGTGGATGGTGAAGGGGTCGAGTGGATGGTCGGGGGGTGGGAGGGGTGCAGTGCCAGCCCAGGGGCGTGACGGTGGTGAGATGTTAACTACCTCGCCTGGTATACAGGAGGTCGTGGGTTTGATCCCGACACTGACGCCCGTAACGTGGCCACGTGGACTTTTCTCCGGGTCCTTCGGTTATTCCCTCCACATTTAGAAACGTGCGTTTAGAGTGGCTGCTGAAAATGTTCACGTGATAAGCCACTCTTCGTTGAGCTATCATTTGTGATTGCCAGGTCGCTTCTGAAAAAGAGCTACATTGCTCAGTGGGCATTACCTGTTAAAATAATAGTTTAGTTTTAGTTTAAGAAATCACTGGCAACAGATTTTAACTGTGGCCGGGTATCGAACCAAGGCAGCACGTGAGAACAACGACAATTTCATCGATTACGCTCGATCTGTGCGATCACAATATGTGCAGCGGAACATCCCCTTCCGTTCTTCCGTCTTACATCAAACAGCGACGTCGCGTGCCCACATCTCACGCGTCCCCTGTGTCCATGTGTGTGCGTCCATGTGTGTGCGTCCGTGTGTGTGTGTCCATGTGTGTGTGTCCATGTCCTTTCCTGAAACCAATGCGGTTTCAGGAAAGGGCGGTCCTGCACAGATGCCATATTTTCTGTCCGTCTGTTACAGCAGAGGTGTAGGGAATTCCAACAAGACCTACATCTCTGCTTTATTGACCTGGTCAAGGCCTATGATACCATCAGTAGGCCTGGGCTCTGGGTCGTTCTTCGTGCTTTTGGAGTACCTGACCCTCTGCTCACGATCATTAAGGACCTTCATGATGGTGAGCGGGCCCGGGTAAAACTACGTGGCCGGGAGTCAGAGCCATTCCCTGTACACCTTGGGGTGCGACAGGGATGTTCTCTGGCTCCCACATTATTTAACATCTATTTTGACCACGTAGTTCGTGAAGCCTTCAATCGCTGTACCGGGGGAATCTCCATATGGTACAGATATAATGGGAGGCTAATCGATGCCCGGGTGCGGTCAAGGGATGGCTCCCTATTGCTCAACCACGTTATGTATGCTGATGACTTGGTAATAGCTGCTCAGTCAGAGGAGGAGTTGGAGACGCTGCTGCTGAGACTGGAGCGTGCCACTAAGAGGTGGGGCCTTACCATCAGCCCCACCAAAACTAAGCACCTGCATGGGTATTTTGTACCATCGGACACTCCACCCCCACAACTCCCAATCGGTGATGGGGCAGTTGTGGAGAGAGTGGAGAGTTTCCCATACCTGGGCAGTGTGCTTATGACTGGCTCCAGTTTAACAGCAGAGGTCTCACTCCGAATCAGTCGAGCGGCAATATCTTTTCATCGGTTGCATAACGCTGTGTGGAAGCTACCTGGTCTGTCGCTCCGCACTAAGCTTCAGGTCTTCTCGGCCACGGTCATTCCCTCCCTTCTCTACGCTTGCGAAACGTGGACCCCCCTAATGGAACATCTTCGCCGGTTAGAAACATTTAGGCTGACCTGCCTACGATCCATCCTGGGTTTAACCAGACTGGATTGTGTGAGGAGCTCACAAATCCTTGAAAGATCTGGGCAGGGTCCCATCGGTGAGCTCCTCCGGCAGGCAAGGCTGCGATGGCTGGGTCATGTAGCCCGCATGCCCAGCCACCGCATGCCGAAACAGCTTTTGTTTGGCCGGATTGAGGGGGCTAAGCGGGCGCGGCACGGGCTAGAGAAGAGATGGAGTGATGTGGTACAGGAGGACGTGGAGCTGAGTGGACTTGCCGATGACTGGTACCAGCGGTGTCAAGATCGGCCTCTGTGGAGGAGGCTCGTGAAGGATGCTACTGGGCAGTTGGAGGCAGTCGCCCTCCAACAACAACGGAGGGCAGAGGAGCGACGCTCACAACAGCGAGCGGAGCGCCGGGTGGCTAAAGCACAGCAGGTTGGCACAGTAGGGGGCACAGGTGGTGCATCAGCCAGTCATCTCAGTCAGTCGACCCGTGGCACCTGGGTCTGCCCCGTGACCTCCTGCCAGCGGGCGTTCGACACTTCACGTGGCCTCAGGGTGCACATAGCCTGGCACAAGCGTCGTGGTGACGTCACCGCCACTTAGTGGCGAATGGCGGTTGTTGTTGTTGTTGTTGTGTGTCCATGTGTGTGTGTCCCCTGTGTCCGTGTGTGTGCGTCCATGTGTGTGCGTCCATGTGTGTGCGTCCATGTGTGTGCGTCCATGTGTGTGCGTCCATGTGTGTGCGTCCATGTGTGTGCGTCCGTGTGTGTGTGTCCATGTGTGTGCGTCCGTGTACGATAGTGTAGCGGTTAGTGCTACGCTGCGCTATGAATCTGGCGACCCGAGTTCGATTCCCGCTCACGGCCAACACCGGTGACGATTATCTGAACCAGTCCTGGGCCACTTCTATGTCGACTCAGCCTAAAATGAGTACCTGGTGTGGTGTATAAACATCGCCACTGGGGATACAAAGGCGGCCGGGCGTGGTGCTGACCACCCACCCCTTCGTGTCCCATGCCGGCTAACAGCACTTGCCCCAAAAATATGTTAAGCTATATGTGGGATCTTCGTCTTTAAATATGTGTGCGTCAGTATGTGTGTGTGCCCCCGTGTGCCTGTGCTGATCTATCTGCTGTGCCGTTACGTTCAACTCCCGATTATCCGGGTTGCAGATTCACTGTTGCTACCTCACATTATTTACTAGATATATTTATCTACAAGAGCATGCTGCTTCCATTTATCATTATTGTTGTAAGCTGCCCTTCACTGATCGATAGTCAGCGACTCATTACCCATACGACTGCACGCATGTCAGTAAGCGAACCGATTGCTTTAAGAAGTCACCTAAACAGACAACAGGTTCTGTACCTTCGTCTCCACTTCTACGTAGGTAAATAATAACGACGCTTTCACGACTTTGAATGGCTCTCCGTACCCCCCGTCGCTCCACGTGACGGGAGCTACCCTTCGGGAGCTGAATTCCGTTCCTTGAGAAGCTCGCAAGCAGGCGGCAACCAAACGTGGGGGACGACGACGCCGAAAACGCGTGGCACAATCAGCGAAAATCACACCGACTACGCAGCACAACCGGTGGTGTGGGAAACAAACCTGCACGGTTGTGCTACCCTTCGTACGTACGCATCATACGGTGTGAACTTCTTCCGCACCGTACGTAGCCGACCGCGCTAAACGGGCCGCCCCCCCCCCCCCCCCCCCACCTCCGCGCTCGTCAACCCACGCACAATCGGGAAGCGACTTATCGACGGCCGCGTAACGGCGCCTGTGAACTCTCGGCACGACACGGTACCCGGCAGGAGCTCCGCGGCGGGAAATATCTTTGCCTGGCGCTCGCGGCACTCGGCGATCAGCTGCTCGGGCGTGAGCGGCAGCTCCAGCGCGTCCTGGATGATGCGCGCCACGTCCAGGGCCTTCTTGCCCATCACCTGGGCCTTCACGTCCCACGAGTAGTGCTTGCCATACTGCCTGCACACGTCCTCGTACACGCCCGTGTACAACCGCTCCGTGTCTGGCAGAAGGATAGAGAGAGAATAAAAGTCGAGACAAATCAGTCGCGCGCAGCGGGGTTCCGCAGCGGTTTTCGAACACGTGCCGCCGTCGGTCTTCGGTATGGGCGGCTGTCAAGAGCAAAAAACGCATTGTTCACATCTGCAAATAGGATTTGTTCGAACAATAATTCATTGAAGCTATGAACACTGTTTTTTTTTTATATGACCAGGTAAGGCCCACTGAGCTATGTAGCTCTTTTTCAGACGCGATCTGGCCACAAATGATAGCTCTACGAAGTGGCTTATCATCACGTGGACAGAACATGGCTGATGTTGATGATGATCGTGATGACCTCAAAACCCAAAACGCATTGTGAGGCTTACGCGAGGCTCCAGGGTCGATCTCAATGCTGCCCCTTCTCCTGAGCTCGTCTTCAGTGAACTGGGTCACGCGTGGATGTCAATGTGGATGTCAATGTGGATGTCAATGTGGATGTCAATGTGGATGTCAATGTGGATGTCAATGTGGATGTCAATGTGGATGTCAATGTGGATGTCAATGTGGATGTCAATGTGGATGTCAATGTGGATGTCAATGTGGATGTCAATGTGGATGTCAATGTGGATGTCAATGTGGATGTCAATGTGGATGTCAATGTGGATGTCAATGTGGATGTCAATGTGGATGTCAATGTGGATGTCAATGTGGATGTCAATGTGGATGTCAATGTGGATGTCAATGTGGATGTCAATGTGGATGTCAATGTGGATGTCAATGTGGATGTCAATGTGGATGTCAATGTGGATGTCAATGTGGATGTCAATGTGGATGTCAATGTGGATGTCAATGTGGATGTCAATGTGGATGTCAATGTGGATGTCAATGTGGATGTCAATGTGGATGTCAATGTGGATGTCAATGTGGATGTCAATGTGGATGTCAATGTGGATGTCAATGTGGATGTCAATGTGGATGTCAATGTGGATGTCAATGTGGATGTCAATGTGGATGTCAATGTGGATGTCAATGTGGATGTCAATGTGGATGTCAATGTGGATGTCAATGTGGATGTCAATGTGGATGTCAATGTGGATGTCAATGTGGATGTCAATGTGGATGTCAATGTGGATGTCAATGTGGATGTCAATGTGGATGTCAATGTGGATGTCAATGTGGATGTCAATGTGGATGTCAATGTGGATGTCAATGTGGATGTCAATGTGGATGTCAATGTGGATGTCAATGTGGATGTCAATGTGGATGTCAATGTGGATGTCAATGTGGATGTCAATGTGGATGTCAATGTGGATGTCAATGTGGATGTCAATGTGGATGTCAATGTGGATGTCAATGTGGATGTCAATGTGGATGTCAATGTGGATGTCAATGTGGATGTCAATGTGGATGTCAATGTGGATGTCAATGTGGATGTCAATGTGGATGTCAATGTGGATGTCAATGTGGATGTCAATGTGGATGTCAATGTGGATGTCAATGTGGATGTCAATGTGGATGTCAATGTGGATGTTAATGTGGATGTCAATGTGGATGTCAATGTGGATGTCAATGTGGATGTCAATGTGGATGTCGATGTGGATGTCAATGTGGATGTCAATGTGGATGTCAATGTGGATGTGTGTGTGGGGGAGCGGTGGCGCAGCGGCTGTAGCGCACCGCGCTATGAACCCGGTGACCCGAGTTCGATTCCCGCTCATGGTGTCAACGCCGGTGACGATGATCTGAACCGGTCCTGGACCTCCACTAGGTCGACTCAGCCTCAAATGACGACCTGGTGCAGTGTGTAAACATTGCCACTTGAGAGACAAAGGCGGCCGGGCATAGCGTTGGGCAGCCACTCCCCCGTGTGCCGTGCCGGCCTTAATAGATGCTCGCTAACAGCACTTGCCCCAACAATCTGTTAAGGCTACACGGGGGATCTTTGTCTTTAGGGGCTCCCTGCTGAGTTGGCTCCTCGGGGGTTAAACCCCGGCCACGATGACCCCCCACCCACATTCTTGTCCAATTGAGGTCACGTTCCAGAAATGTCCCAGGCGGCACAGCCTTCACAACGTGAATACCAGGAGTGAATACCAGGAGTGAATACCACACGTGTAACGATCCGCCACTCAAGGGATTCAATTTCAGTGATCTCATGATTTGGCGGTCAAGATTTGATTCGTCTCGTTTTAACCATCACGTTTGTATTGTTTTGTATTGTTTTGTATTGTTTGTATTGTTTTGTATTGTTTTGTATTGTTTGTATTGTTTTGTATTGTTTGTATTGTGTTGTATTGTTTTGTATTGCTTGTCTTGTTTTGTATTGTTTGTATTGTTTTGTATTGTTTTCGAGTTTTTTTGACCCCGTCTCGTGTGTACAGCTCTGCAGACCCCCAATTGCATTCAACGCGAGCAAATAACTGTCATGTAAGTTACACGAATTCAAACAATCCATTATTGTACGCGATTTTAAGCATGTATTGTGAGTGTAAGAAATAAGTTGAATCGATGGATTGTTACACACCATCGCCACTGGAGAGACAAAGGCGGCCATCTATACCCTGCTGTGAGCAGAATGCACCACATCATCTGCTCGTTGTCGTGGGCGTTTATTGCTCATCAAGAATAATATGATTCAAATAATCCCTGTTATGTCATCATCATGACCCGCGATCAATTTAAAGTGGGACAACGGCCTCCCCGAGCCGTCACGGTCCAGGCAACATTACTTTGGGAAAACTTCCTCCACATGACTACGCCTCTCACTCGTAAAGAGAGGGGAGAGAGACAGAGAGGGGGGGACGACTCAGGGGCACGAGGAGGAGCCTCGGACGAGCAGGGAAGGCAGCAGCAGGAGCCATGCAGCAGGAGCAGCCATGCAGCAGGAGCAGCAGGAGCCATGCAGCAGGAGCAATGCAGCAGCAGGAGCAGCAAGAGCCATGCAGCAGCAGGAGATGCAGCAGGAGCCATGCAGGAGATGCAGCAGGAGCAGCAGCAGGAGATGCAGCAGGAGCCATGCAGCAGCAGGAGCCATGCAGCAGCAGGAGCAGCAGGAGCCATGCAGCAGGGGCCATGCAGCAGGAGCCATGCCGACCACTATATATTCGTGCAGTCCGCGTGGATTTTTCTCCGGTTCCTCCGGGTTATTCCCCCTCCACATTTCGACTTAACGTCAGGCGTTTAGAGTATTTCGCTGCCGCTATGAATTTCCCTGTGATGATGAGACGCCCACTGCGTTGGGCTATCATTTGTGGCCAGGTCGCTTCTGAAAAAGAGCTACGTAGTAGCTCAGCGGGGCCTTACCTGGTAAAATAAAAATTGTTGTCGGCCAATTATCTGCTCCTCGAGACACGCGCGAGCGTTACCGATCAATATCTTTGCAACACCGAAAATAATCACAGACAGTGGAGCAGATTCGTTATCGAGGTCAAGGATAATAATGTTTCATGTTTAGTTGTATAGTGTGCATATATAGCGTCGTCGTTCCTGCAAATTGCATCTCTCACATTGGCTGCGGGATCACAGACGAGCTGGAAGGCAGCAGTAAGGCAGTAAGCCAGCGATACCACCAATGGCCCAAGCTCTGCAGTCCTCTGTATAGTAAGATCTATTCAAGCCAATGAATCAGTGGCCTATACGTGTGGGAAGAAACCGGAGCACTCGGAGAAAAGCCACGCATGCGAGGTGGAAACACTCTATCCCATACAGCTGGGACAGGTGGAGTCTACGTGTGCTGTATCGGCTTCTCCTGATTCTCAACATCTGTGTGCGGCGATCCACCAACCCAGCTCGCTGCTGCTGCTGTCTCCACAGTGTTGGATTACAGGCAGCCACGTGCAGCATCGCCACCACCGCCGCCGCCCGGGGCTTTGGATTTGCCCAAATGTTTATCGATTCCCACGCTGCGGGCTTTTTCCGGGTGTTCTTTCATCATTTTCGCGTGCTTAATTTTAGTTGATCTGAATAACTTACTTCAATTACAATTTACTAAATAATCGTGAGCACTGTTGCAGAAAACACAATTTTTTTGGCGTTATGCATTACGCCGTGGTGCGGCGAGCCTGGAGCGCATAGCTAAGAGTTCAGTTCAGTATATTTTGAAGGACCCTGTGGGCTAAGAAGCTCTTAAGTCGGATTTCATCAATACAAACACACCGTTTCATTGACAAGAGAGAGAGGGCCCTTGCCTATACAGATTTGGCAGGTCACCAGCAATGGTCCAAGCGAGTAACCTGACTCAGTTGATGAGACACTGAATGTCGAAACCGGTCCAGACTTTGCATTTAAACCAAAACGTCGCACGAAATGATGCACTCCTAGAAACTCCGTGCAGCTGATGGGATGTGTAAACATATTTTCAACAAAATTTTTTTGTAAAAAGGTTTCAGTTTTGTTGCCAGAAAAAAGGGGGGAAACCCTATTAATTATATTTTGGAACTTGCAAAGGAGGTCTAATGATGTAGATGCTCACCCCGAGCCCTCATTACTTTGATAGTGCATTGTCTTTGAGCTGTGTGATGCCTTTTGGCGTCATCTGGTCGAGCACCAATTGGTGCGAGGCTGAAAAGAAAGCCGTCCCTTGGTGTGGACCAATCAGTTTCAAGGACAATGCATACATTAATCATACGATGTTTTTTGTTTGCATTTTGACTGCAGGTATTGTGGTTAATGCAGACATGAATCCTCGTAAAAAGGTTTCAGTTTTGTTGCCAGAGAAAAAAAGGGGAAAAACCCTATTATTAAAAAAAATATTGTGTTTAAATCAATTCTGTTCAAATGTTACACAATCGCGTGTGCTGGTTTGGCCCACATCTCCCTCGCGCGAGCTTCGTGCTCTCAAGGGGCTCTCACGCTGCTGTTGTTGATGCCGCGTGGACCAATCGCGTTGCCCGACTGAGACAGCGCCACTTTCATCACTGACGTCACACCCCGCCACGCGTCAGTGTCACCAATTGTTTATACCACCCACCAGGGACATGCGGTCAGGGGAGGCAGGGGAGGCAGAGCCTCACCTGTCATACT